CATATATATATATATATATATATATATATATATATATATATGTGTGTGTGTGTGTGTGTGTGTGTGTGTAAAAATGATCATTGAAGTTATCATCAAGTAAAGACATAATTCCTTATGTCTTTACTTGCTGATGATTTGAAGCCACTTTTTACTATTTTCAGTTGCAAAGTGCTCGTACAGTCAAAGAACAACAGTGGCGTATGAAGAGGCTGGCTAGGGAGAACATTGCATATTGGAAACGTTCACGTCGTTTTGACAGAGAAATCAAAAAAAGATTAGAGAAGGAAGCCGAGGAACAAAGAAAAATCGACCACGAACTTGTAGAAGCCAAACGTCAACAGAGGAAACTGAATTTCCTCATTACACAAACAGAACTATACGCTCACTTTATGTCTAAAAAACTTGGCACTGTTTCGACAGAAGAGCAGTTGAGAATATTGAGTCAGTTGGATGAAGACAGTTCCAATAAACCTCTCTGTGATACTTATGATAGGTATGTCAATTTTCATATATTATTTGATGCATTTTTGAACAAAAATGTTCGAATATTTGAACACATAGTTATTTTTTTCTTTGGGTTTCAGTGATGCAATGAAGGAACTAGCAAAGAAAAACGCATTGGATGCCTTTCAAAGTGAAAAATCTCGAACTAAACATTTTGATCAACACGCTAACTCATGTCTAGGTGACTTTGACTCGATTGATGGGGAACAACCTCAGCCAGAGTTGTTCATGGGAAAACTGAAGGGATACCAATTGAGAGGAATGAATTGGTTGGCTAATTTGTATTCACAAGGAATAAGTGGTATCCTGGCTGATGAGATGGGACTAGGCAAGACAGTACAGAGTATAGCCTTCCTTTGTCATATCGCCGAAAAATATTGTACGTAAAAATCACTTCATATATATGATAAAATGTATCGTCATCTTGATGAAGTAAATAAGTAGAAAGTACTGATGTATGTAATGCCAAGCTTTATTTTTAGAAAAGTAATTCTTATTGACAAAGCATGGGTCTACATCGTAACTACTGCATAGTGATCAGTGATGTTAGTTTTTATTATAGAAGGATAAATGTTTTCAATGTAGCCAAATCCTTATGTTTTTTTTTTATCTTGAAAATACTTTCTGCCAGGCTACTTTCTCCCCAAAAAATTATTCCAAAACGCATCACTGAGTGGAAGCTGGCAAGATAAATGGTTCGCTTTACTCCATCATCCAAATATGTTGATGTTACCCTAAATGCATAGCAGATAGGTGATAATTTGGTGCCGGTTTCCCTAATATGTTTTTCGAAATCTAAGTTTTGGTCAGTGTATACCCCGAGAAATTTCGTGTGTCATGCTAGTGTTATTATCTGTCTTTGTACTCGAAGTGTTCTTTTATTTTAATTCGAAAGCAAATATCATATGTTTTATCTTTGTTCAGTATGAGTTTGTTCATGGTAAACCATTCCTGTGCCTTTTCCACCGTTTCATTCAAGATGTCTGAAAGATTGTTCAATGACTTACCTACTGTTAGAATGTTTGTGTCGTCTGCAGAATTCACAAGTTTAATGGTTTTTTATTCACAGTATCTAAAGCAAATCATTTATGTGAAATATGAATAACAAAGTGCCCATGATACTACCCTGAGGGACATCTACCACTGTTGTAATTTTCTCTAAATGATATTTAATTCCATGGCAATTTATAACTACTTTTTGTTTGGGCTGTATCAGGTAAGACGTTATCGAGTCATGAGCGAGTCCTCTGATACCATATCTCTCCATCTTTTCTAACAAAATTTCATGATCCAAAGTGTCAAAAGCTTTTGCCAGGTCTAGAAAGATATCCATTGATATATTTTTCTTTTCATATGAATTAGTAACTTTTTCTATGAATTCATATATTGCTGTCTCGATGGACTTCCCTTTCGAGTAGCCATGTTGCGAGTGACTCAACAATTTTTGGGTATAGAAATAGCTCAGAAGTCTGAAACACATTGCAAGTTCAAAAACTGTGGAGAGAGATAGTAGCAAGCTTACCGATCTATGCTTTTCTATGAGTGTTGGGTCATCTTTTTTAAACAGTGCTGTTTTCAAGTTGTCTGGGAATGCACCGGTTGTAAAAGAGTTATTGATTATGTGACATAATGTCATTGCTAATTCGTAGGCACATAGTTTTATAATACTATGTGATATTTCATCATATCCAGTACTGGTTTCATTTTTCAGTTTTGAACACAATTTAATTCATCAATAGTAATTGCTATTAAGAAAAATGAGTTCCTACTTAACGGTATAGAATAGAAAAGAATAGAATTTAATCATCTGTAAAAGCAGAACATAATATGTTACAAAATAATTTGGTACACAAATGTTACTACTTCATTAGACTAGTCAACTAAAATCAGAATATATACCTATTTATAAGACTATTCTACATACACAACCTACTTTCAACGCTAAAATTTGTTAAAAAAGGTTAAATTCCTTCACAGAATAGAATGCTTTT